AATGACACAATTGATAAAACAAGAAGAAAATGAAAATGAAAAAGAAATAAGAAATAATAATAAAAATGAAAGAATTTGTTATTGATATTTATAATTATTGTTTTTCATTAAATTAAAAATAAAATAGTTAAATTATTAATTCAATGTATTATAATTTATAGAATTTGTTATTGATATTTTTTGTTATTTATAATTTATAATAACAAAATAATTCTAATTTTTGTTATTTTTTATTTACATTTTATTTCATCTATTTCTAATTGAAATATTCTCTTATTTAATTATCTTTTATTCCATTTCTATTCATTTCTATTTTATTTTATTTCTTCTTTTCTAATAATTGGTCTATCTGTATTTATTATTGTTAATTTGTTATGTTCAATATGTTTATTTCTTGACTTTTTAATTATTTCTTGTTAAGAAGATAATAATTACTGTTGTTTTTGTTTATTTAACTCTTTTTTATCTGTTTTTCTTCATGTCTTCAATTTTCTGAATTCAATCATCTGTATAACTATATTTCTTTATTAAATTATAATTCTTCACTTGTTATTTGTTGTGATTTTGAAAATAAAGAAGTGTAAAAACTCACAGCAATTCTTCATTATGTAAAAATGATTTATTTATTATTTGATTCAATACAACTTCTTTTAAAATATTAATAAATGTCATCATTAATTCTTCTAAATTCAAGTTGAACAAAAATTAATCGAACTATTAATTTTGGAATGAATTAAATTAATTAACATTTAGATGTGTTATGCTTGATATGATTTGTATATCTTATCTTTTATCTTCTAATTTATCATTACATTTATCACATTTGATATACCACTCATCATTTGAAATATAATTAATTTCTTTCTCTTCTTTATCTTCTTGTAGAACTTTGTATAAAAGAATCATTACATTTTTGTAATCTATTTCTTTTTGATTAATTCTTTCTTATATTTATTATTCTTGTATTATTTTATATCATTTTTATCTTATTTGTTATATTCATTCACATTTAAATGGTCTTTTCTTAAACTCTCTATAAATTTATGAACTTCAGATATCATCAAACCAACTCATTTACTAATTGTGTCTATAGTAAATAGAAAATAGTTATTGAATTTCATAATAAACAACTCAAATGTTTATTGAGTGTTATTACAAACAAGTGAATTGTTGAAATGTGTTAATTCATCTTTATTGACACTGAATATTGACAAATGTTGATTTAAAACTGACCACATTTTCCCCCTTTTTCTCTTCTAAACCCCTTTCTTCATATTTTCTAATTCTCTCATTTTTCTGATCACTAACACTAAGACTGATTTGTTAATACCACTAACATCACTTCATTTATCTTAACTTCTATTTCTTCTACACTCATAGCCATTTATGGAGTTTGTCTAAACAAATCACAAAGATTACTAAATGGAATATCTAAGTGTGATTGATCTTCACAACAAGTTTGTTGTCTTTCATCAATACTTAGTTTATTAAGTTCATTCTCAAAACAACAAAACAAACAACACGAATTACTTCAATATAAACATATTCAACAATGAATTTGAGTGTAAAGTGTTGAAGGTATCTCAACAAAATTAAAAAGGGCATAACATGACATCACTGTTAGAAAGTAAAACAAAGTGTTTTGAGATAAAAAACATAACATCAAGAATGTCAAACTATCAAAACAGAAAATATAAGAACTATCTCTAGAACACCACTTAAACAACATCAACACACAAATATGAAAAGATTTTATGAGAAGTAGAGTGAATTAATAAAGACATGAAGTGATATTTTGAAAACATCATAAGTCATATCAGCAGTATCAGAAGAAGAAATAAATGGTTTAAAATATGATGGAAATGACAGTTATGAATGAAAAAAGAATAAAAGTACATTCACTAAATCTTACAAACAACATAAAGAACAAAAAAGGAAAAGAAACAAAAAGGAATAGATTCTCATAATGATTATTTTTCATAACAAGAATATTTGATATTTTTTATTATTATTTTTTTATTAATTTATCTTTTTTGTTTTTTATTTAAATATTTTGTTATTTGATTATTTAATTCTTTCTTCTTCTTTTCTTTCTATATTATTATTGTATTATTATTGTATTATTTTGATGTTTTTGTTATTATTTTGTTATTTTCATTAGATTTATATTGTTTAAATATTGAATAATTAATAAATTGTAGATAAATGAATTAAAAATATCATGAATGCGAAAATGAAATATTTATTATTTTATTTACTTCATTGTTATAAATAATAAATAATCATTAATTTCGATATTATAATGATTTGATGTGAATATTTATGAATTTTACATATTATTCATTATATTTACATTCATTACTGGTATTATATCTGATAATGTTGTTAAATTATATCATTTTATATTTTCATTAATTGATAATCATATTAAATATTATTCTTATTCATCTATCTTATTCATTTCTTATTATTTATTATTTATTATATATGATAAAAGATAAATAAAATAGAAATAAAAGAAGAAAAGAAAAAGAAGAAAAGAAATATAAGAAAATGAATAATAAGAAAGAATTAGAAAAGAAAATATTAAAGGAGTAGAAATGATGATTAAACCAGAAAGTAAATTATCAATGATATTCAATAATATTAAGAAAGAAGTAGAAAAGAAAGGAGAAAATGAAAGAACAATCATTTGTATTCCTAATGGAACAAGTCAAGGAAATGAAAGAAGAATAGAAAATTCAACAAAACTGGGAAGATTAAATAATGTACAAATCATACGGAAATATCATATAATTGAAAGAATACTTTCAGAAGAATATAACATAGAAACACCAATTCTTATCATAGAAAATACAGAAATAACATATGGAAATATTAAAAAAGAAAGAGATAAGATAAAAATAAGAATAATAAATACTATAAGAATAAACAATACAACAGAAGAAAATAAAGAAATCAATAGAATAACAACAGAAGAAAAAGAAGAGAAAGGAATAATAATAAATAATAAAATAAAACAAGAAAACAAAATAAACACAAAAAGATGGAGATATAAAGAAATCAACGAAGAAAAATATATTAAAACAATAATAGAAATGATAGAAAAAGAAGAAGAATATTCAGAATATTCATCAGAAAGAGAAATGATAATAAATATCAAAAGAATACTATATAATAATAAAATCAATAAAAGAATAATTGGAAAAAAGAATAGGATATAATTCAATAATGATAGTATCAATGTATTTTAATGATATTAAAGATTTTATTAATTTAGAAATAGGAATTAAAAGATTTCAAGGAAATATGGAACGATTTCATTTTAATCCAATTCCTTTAAATGAACATTCAAGAAAATTCTTTCCTAATATTGAAACATTTCATATTTATATTATAAGTGATGAAGAATTTGATGACGGAAGAATCAATAAAGCAATAATATGGTATACAGTTAATTATTCAACATATTTACAAGAAAAAGAAGCAGGAAATATCTGTAAAAATATAGAATATACAAAATATGATAGTTATAAATATGGAAATACAATACCATCAGAAGTTAAATCACTTGGAGATGAATGTTTTAAAGATTGTACTACATTAACATCTATTACTATACCACCATCAATTAGGAAAATAGGAAATAGATGTTTTTATGGATGTTCATCATTAAAACACATTAAACCTCAACTAATGCCAGTTATAGAAATGGGAAAGAGTTGTTTCTATGGATGTGGTTGTGAAGAGGAGTTGAGACAAATGGAGGGAATCCCAGAAAATTGTTTTTCAAAATGAAAGATTTGGAACAAAAACTCAAATAGAATAAATTAAAAATGCTATTTTAATTGAATTCATTTTAGGACGTTTATCTTTATTGTGTTATGATGAGAATGATATTTTATGTATACGCAACTTTGCAATGAATATTAGAAATGATCAGTTAAATTGTTATCATATCTGGTATAATTATTGAAATATTCAAGAATTTCGATATTTATTTGTTATATTTAAATAATGTTTACATTCTTTTCATATTAGAGTTATTTATTTAATGGTAATACCATAATATTAGAAGTTAGATATGAGCGTTTTGAAGTAGTGTATTTTATTCATTTAAGAAGTAGTAAACTTTAGAACAAATCCTGTAAATGATTAATAAAACAATAGAAAGGATATAAATAATTGAAACTTTTAGTTGATTTAGTTAAACGTGTTCTCATAAAAACGATTGAATTTACTTTATTGAGTCAAAGTATTCGTTTAATCATAATTTTATCGAAAGGCTCAGAATACAAGTCGAATATCATAACAACAACACTAACGATAAACGTATTCATTATCCTTGAATGAAACTAGATTGATTTAATGAAATGATTATAGGTCAAATAACTCAAAAAATATTCTAAAAGAAAGTTAATAAGACCACAGCACGTATTAAATTAACAATGAATAAGATAAAAGACTCATTACATAATTATTGAAAGAATATATTATTGAGAATAAAACTGTTTTAAATCAACAAAGAAATAAAATACTAACTAATGTTAAAGAAGATAGATTTTTCTTTAAGAAGAATTTATAAATGATAATCGAATTATGAAATCTCGAATCAAAACATATAAAAACAATGCTATTTAATTATTTCATCATACAGAAAAACCAACTACCATATAAATAAAAGAATATTATATTTAAATGTTGTTATGATAAATTAACTTAAATTTATAAAATAAACAATGGAGAATTTGATGATATTTTATTAAAAATGATATAGATAAAGAATTACTTATCATAATATATGTAATTGAAAGAAAAGATTGATAACATAATAACATATGGAATCATTTAAAAACAACATGTTTCAATTTTAGTATTTTTCATGTTATTATGGATAGTGTTTAATGTAGAGATGAAAGTTATTGAAAGAACAAAATAGAAAATAATTTAACAACAAAATATATTATATATAGTTAGTATAAACGAATCAATTGAAATAGAATGAAAGAGAAATACTCTTTTGTCAATGAAGAATATATTATTAATTATACTGAGTGAAGTGGTATTGATAAATGATGGAATAACTGAAAATAGAAAATATGTGAAGATATCAAAATTGCAATGACCATTTTCATTAACTTAAATTAACAATGATACCCCCTCAAAGAAGGAAACACTTGTGTTTGTTTATATTATTTGTACATATGATAAAGACAAGATATTCAATAATTATTACAAAATATTCTTTTCTTAATAATTTTTAAAAAAGTGAAGAATGGTCATTTAATAAAAAAAATTGAAAAGCAGTCGTAGTTTAGGTGGTAAAACACTTACTTAACTTGCAAGTTCAATTTCCTTGTTAACAAGATGTGAGAGTCGAAGGTTCAACTCCTTCCGATTGCATTTTACTTTTATTTGTTTTTTGAAATACATAACAAAAAATCAATAATAAAAATACTTTAATGAAACTAAATAAAAACTATTTTGAAACTATTATAAAAACTTAATAAATAAAAACATAAATATTCAGAATTATGTTATTTCAAGAAGAATACTTTAAGAATTACGAAAAAAGAAAACAAAATTACATCAATTAATAACAAAAATTAAAACAATATAGTTTTTATCGTGATAAATAACAAATGAATTGATAGTAAACAAATAGTAATGAACAATACATATACAAAGCTGTTGATTGAAATGTTTTATCAAAATATATCTTATTCTATTTAATACTTCCAAATATTGCAATTGATTCAACAAAAGAAAACTTTCTTCTCATATCAAAAAACTCTTTGTTTAATATGACGAATGATAAATAAAATTAAATAAAGAATATTGATGGAGATACTAAAAATGAAGTCTATTAAATTACAGATACAAAACAATAACTCATCTCTAAACACAAAATAATAATAACATATTGTTTAAATTATTTCATTTGATCTAATTTCTTTTTCAAAATATTATTTCAATAAAGTATTTCTTTCAATACATTATTCTCTTCCACCTTCAAAATCTTTATTCTGTGATATGTTCTTATTAGAACAATTAATATCTTACATAAGCGTTGAATATTTAATACCTAATCTATGTACATCTATTTCTCTTGAACACTTGTACTAGTGAAATCAATAGAAAAGACTAGACTATTTTGAATGATTATACAACAAAATCTAAAAGAAAGTTGTATTTGATAAAAATGAAAGATTTATAATCCAATTATATAAAAACAAAACAAAAGTCTGTTTAGTGTTGAAAAACAAACAAAGAAGAAGGAATCATTTAGAAAGCAAAGAAAACGATGAATGTAAATAACATACCTAATACAGAAATGGCTCCAGAAAAGACACATCTTCCTTCAAATTGATAAGAACCTTCAGTACATTCTAAACAACCTAATTCTTCATGACAAAGATCACAGAAATATGGGCAAGCTAATATAATGATTATTTAATTCATTTATAAAAAGAGAAAGAATGAAACAAACATGAACATCTACCATCTTTAGTTACATAAAATCCTGGTTGACATTGACTACATCCAAGTGCATTATCACATTGTCCTTCTGTGCAATAAGTAGAACATTTAGCACAAGTACCATCATCTTTATCTATAAAGAATTTATCATCACATCTATAAATATTTGTATTGTCTCCATAAACTGTACCTTCAATACATTCTTTCTGTCCATATGATCGATATCCAGTAGCACAAAGATCACATGCACCAGTTGTACCATTACAATGTCCTGGTTGACAATTAGGATCACATGCAACACACATACCATCAACAACATAATATCCATCATTACATTCACTACATCCAGTAGATTTTGAATATTTTGAAGGTTGACATTGGTATGGTTTCTCTATACTATCAGTATTTACTTTATAACACTACTAATAATAGAAACAAACTTTCACATCTTCCATGATAAACAAAATATCCATCTTGACATTCTTTACATCCATCTTCATTACATTTTTCAGTAGCACATCTTGGATCACAAAGATAACATTTTCCTTCAAATGCAAAATAACCTGTTTTACATTTATTACACATAGAAGGTGATTTACAACTTTCTTCACAGTTTGGATCACATCCCATACAAAGTCCTGTATTATTTTTAATTAATCCATCTTGACAATTTACACATGAGGTACTGTTTTCACAAGTAGAACATGTTTTATGACAAACAGCACAACCATGATTATAATTATAATATCCATCTTTACATTTAGTACATCCACTAAATTCATCACAAGTAATACATGCAGGATCACATGCAATTGCTTGTCCTCCATAAATATAATATTTATTAACTTCTTTTACTTGTGTACATCCAACATTATCAGAATATGTTTTACATCCTTCACCTGCATAAGTACATACTCCAGAAGATAAATAATAACCAGTTTGACATTTTGTACATCCAACATTATCTTGAACAGCAGTACAATTATCTCCTCCTGAATAACATCCACTAGCTTTCATATAATAAAGATCTACACAAGATAAACATTTTTTTGAATCACACGTTTTGCATCCATCAGCACATGGAAGACATCCTCCTAATTCATCAATATAAAACCCATCATTACATTGAGTACATCCAACTTTTTCCTTACATTTACCAGAAGCACATTCTTCAGGACATGCTAAAAATAAGTTTAATATTGTTTTATGTAATAAAATTAAGTTAATCAAAAAAAAAACAAACCAATACACGTATTTTCATCATATTTATATTCATTCTTTTGACATTCAATAGCTAAGCACAATGAAATCAATATAAACAAAAGAACAGTCATAGAACTACTAAAATTTGAAGATGACCCTTTAATTTTTTCATTTTTCATTTTTTTTTGTTTTTTTTATCTCCCCTTCTCTTGAAACGAAAATTAAAAAATTTTGAAAACAATAAAATATTTTTTTGTTTTGTGTTTTCTTCTACTCTAACTTCTTTTCCCGATTATATAGGAAGATGTATTATGTTTAAAATTATTTGGGGAAGAAATAAGAAGCAATGATATAAGGAAAAAAACCTGAAATTATGATTTTATGATAAAAGGAAACCAAAACAAAAATAAAAAGGAAGAAGAAGACAAAAAAAAAAGGATTAGAAAGCAACGATTAAAAGAGCAACAAGCAATAAAGAAAGAATAGTTGTAGCACCACTGCAAATACCTTTATCTTTATTCAAAGTATAACCTTCCTTACATTGTTTGCACCCTTCTTGACTATCACATTCATTACAACTAGATTGACAAGCTAAGAAAAATGAGTTTCTATAATAAAATAATTTACAAAAATTAATAAAGAACAAACCAATACATGCATTTTGTTTATGTAAGAAGAATCCTTTTTTACATTTTTTACACCCAACTCCATCTGAACAAGAATCAACCTCACAATTACTAGGACATAACATACAAGTATTAGTAGTAGAATTAAGATATCTTCCAGCTTGACATCCTAAACATTTTTGTTCAGTATTATCACAGTTAGAACAATATTCATCACAATAAGTACAGACAGTAGTTCCTGTTTGATAAGTATTTCCTCCACAAACTTGGCAAATTCCTGTACTTCCATCACATAATGTACATTTCTTATCACATTCAACACAATCACCATTACGTGCATAATATCCAGTACTACATTTAGTACATCCACTTGACTGATCAAATTCAATACATTGTTTTGGTTTTTCTATAGAATTAATCATTTCACTTTTTGAATAGATAAATTGAACAAACCGACACAATCACCATTCTTAGCATAATATCCTTCAACACATTTCAAACATCCAAAGATTTGATTAGATGAACCTTCTGCTGAATCACATTTATCAGAAATAGGAAGACAATTTCCATCAACAGAATATGTTCCTACAGTACATTTAACACATCCATAATCTTCTACACAATCATTTGTTGATGCACACTTGGAATCACATTTTACACAATCTCCATTTTTAAGATAATATCCACTTTGACAACTTTTACATCCAAAAGTTTCATCACAACCTTCAGTACAATAGGAAGAACATGCTACTAATGAGGATTTTTCTTTTTTATTTTATTGAACATTTCTAGATATAACAAACCAATACACTTCTGACCATCAAACCATTGCCCATTACTACAAAGAGAAGCATTAATTAAGGCAATGAAATATAATATCACAATAACCTTCATATCTCTATGAAATTTAAGTTCTTTTATTTTTTTTTAATTTCTAATTTAGGAAGACAATGAAATGCAATTTAAAAAATCCAAAACTAATTTTTTAATAAATTGATTTTCGTCTCATCTTTTGTTTCTCCTAACAAATTGCCTTTAAATGAATCCGTTTTTCCTATTTCTTTTTAAATCATAAACTGAATTTATATCACAAGAAGAACCCTTTACTTTTCATTTATTGTTAAAATTAAATTCTTAATATTCCAAATAAAAATCAACTTAGAAAAGAGTTAGAAGAACCACCATCATTGAACTTCTCAGGACACTAACTGTATTATTTCTCATACACACTTCATTTACTAACTCATACCCTTTTCACATTTAGAACATCCTGTAATTGTACTACAATTGGAACAATGGTCAGGACATCCAACACATTTTTTTTTCACTCACATAATACCCAAAAGTGCAATTAGTACATCCACTAACAACAACATAATTACTGCAATATCTAAACAAATTTCGTATTTACCGCCTTTAAGATAATAACTAATTTCCAATTTGTACATGGTGAGTTACTATAGACTTTACAACTATAAGCCAGACATTGAGTTTTATCTTTTGGATTTACATAAAAAAATGGATTTACATTCAATAAATCACCAGTTTTACCATTACATTCATTACTAGCACAATCACTATCACGGGGGAAACATCTTCATCCCTGACTTAATATCCAAATTGATAACTCCTACATCCACTGGTAGTATCAAATGCTTTATTAACATAATATTCAGACTTTTCTATTCAATTAATTTAACTGTTTTTTTCTATCAAAACTTATGAAAATAAACATAAACAAGGTAACACAAAATCTATTAAGTGGATAAAAAACTGCTTTACATTTATTGCATCCATTCACACCATCAGTACTTGAATTTTCTTCACAACTATCACCGTAACTAATACACCTTTGTTCTTTAAGTAAAAGCTCAAACGTACATTTGCTACACCCCTTAGTTAAATAACAACTAGAACTCTCACAATTACCGTCACATAGAGGACATTCTCTTTCTGATTTATAATATGAATCTAAACACTCCACACGTACACTCTTCTTCATCTTTGCATTCTTTACAAATACTTTTATCTTGGCAAGTATTAATGAGCATTTAATTGGTTTGAAGTATTACAACTGTATATAGAAACAAATTTTAACATGTATTTTAGTATTCATGTTCATCACTTGAACAAATAACTGGTGGGCGTGATGAAGCAATAGCCAAAATCAAACTCAACATTGGTTGAATTTTAGTTCTTTTATTCAACCTTTTTTATTTCTCTAAAGTTTTTCTCTTTTAATAATTACAATAATAATAGCATGAATCATTTCATTCATTATTTCTTTTTCATCACAATAAGTATTTTATCATTATGAAAATAGATCAAACAAACACTTTATAATATAAATGTTTATTATAAAAACATAAAAAAAGATATAAACAATATTGAAATAATGAATACAAGTAAATATGAAATAAATGAAATGATAGAAATAATAAAAGAGTATTTAAATTGAATGATTAAAATGATGATGAAAGTATTTGGTAAGAATATTAATTTCAATGAATTATTGAATACAATACAATTAAATGAATGAAAACATGATATAAACAATGTATTTAAATTTGTAACAAATAAATTAAATGATATTTAAAAGAAAAGTGGTGAATATATAAGAAATATAAAATGTATATTTAATATTATGAAATTATCATAATCAAATTATGTCATTAAATATAAAATCAAATGTATTTTATTCAATTAGTAAAGATGTAAGAAGGAGTAATTATAAACTGAAGTATTAAATCAAAAATACTCTATATTGATATATTAAAATATTATAAACATTGTTATATCATTATTCTATCTATTAATCATATATTATTATGATATCATGTAATGAAGAAGAATCAAATATCAAAACACGGTTGTGTGTGTAAACAAATAAATAAACATATATTAATTACTCATTTTAATGAAATTGATGAAATAGATTTTAATACACCTCCTAAATGTATTAATAATGATGAAATAGTTATAACTTACAATAAAGATTTATTGGTTAGTGACCATTCGTTTAATGTTAGAAGACCAGATATATATTATCAAATCATCAATGAAAAAAAAAGATATATTAATGATGTTGATATATATCAAGATAGAAATAATGGATTAAATTATATTTACAAAATAAATAAATACAAAGAATTATAAGAGAAGTTAAAACAAAATAGAGAAATAATTTAAGTAGAAATAATACCTGTAATATTAACAATCAATAAATTAATACATAAAGAAACCGTAAGAAGATTAAAAACACTAAAATTACAAACTAACTTCCATAAAATACTACGAACAATCATTATAAAAAATATGAAATACTTAATGTTCTACATATTCATGCAACACATTAGAAGAGGATCCTTCTAATTCTCACATCTTAGAAATAAACTCTATTATAGAAATAGAGCATATTGAAATCACTGAAATAATCATTTTACAATAACCATAAAATCCAATTATAGATATATCTATTATTTATATTTTTTTTCTAAAGTTTTTCTTTTTTTTTTTTTCATAAGAAGTTTTATTTGAACCATTTCCTTTCAATAAGTCAACCATTTAATTAGACAAATCAAAGGTCTTGAATATAAAAAGAAAGACCAATATAAATGAATATATTAATTAACTGATATTAATGGATTACTTAATTTAAAGAAATTGATATTTTTTTATTATTGTGTATTATTTATTGTTTTCATATTTTCTTTATAATAAAACTCCCAAATATTAATATCAAATGAGTTCTTTGAGACGTAACACCTCTTATCTTGGACTCTCCCCAAGAATTTCCAGATTATCAAGGTCTAATTCCTGTTCATCAAAACTTACACCAAGAACTAGGATTATTAGTGATAGCAACGCATGGACTGCCGTTTGTTTTTTTAGTTGGTGATTATCATGTGTACAAATGTTAATTATAAAAAGTATGGATAAATTGACATGTAGTTACTTGTTCCTTTAATGAATGATATACCAGAGGCAACGTTCAAAACAATGATACATATTTCAATGGGAGTAGAAACTAATATGTCTAATTCCCAATTAATATTTTCATATTTTGTAGAGAAAGAAAGACTAGCTGAATTGATTGAGTACATTGTCAAAAGAGAAGTTATTTCTAACATTGAAGAGATTTTGCTAATATTCGATTCTAATTCTTGTTTTGATGTTATGATGCAAATGTTTGCAATGAAAGAAATGGATACATTTTTTGAAAATGTTGTACTTTCTATTACACAAAAAGTACATAAATCGAAGTACAAGTTTAGTGTTTGTTATTATTAATAATATTAACTAACAATAAGTTTGACTAATATGTTTAGAATGATGATAAATCCATCACAAAGAATATAAAGAAATTAATTAAACTTCTTCGTATTATTATCAAAGAGATTACTGATTTATCAAAATACACACCGTTTGTTCTTTGTTTTGTTTGTATTGTAAATTCAAATTATTAATGAAAAATACTATTAATACTTATCAAAACAGAGCATTCAAATATTTTATTCATGAATTAGTCAAAATTACATTTTATGATTATCCATTACAACACTGTCGAGCATTTGAAGTGTTTATGGTTGGAATTATTCTAGAAAAGATTCGATTAGTTCCAAGTAAATCAACAACAGAAAAACAAACAATAGAAGTCATTAGTCTATTTATTGATAATTATATTCATCCAAAACAAACTGAATGGAGTCAATTAATAGAAAAAGAGTTTAAAGATATTAACCAAGAAATGGACTATTTAAAACAAAGAATATTAGTTTGTTAAGTTTTAATAGAAATAAGCCATTAACTTTAATTTACATATGTAGAATCTTCAAACAGAAAAAGAAGATTGTGTCATTCAATGGAAAATACCAACTGCTGGATTTACTGAAAAATTATCTAAGTCTATTGATGAAATCAGAAATTATATTTCACCAGAAAGTCAACAACTAATTGATATATATTTTAATACAAGTCAACCGATGACTAAGAGATTTAAACAAATTGTAAATGAAATTAATCAGTTAAGTATTAATAACTTTAATGAAAAATCAGGAGTGTTGTATAAAATGTCAGTCATTAAACAACGAATTAAAGGTTTGTTCTTCTTATTTGTTTTAATTGAGTAAATAACATTATTTAATTAGTAGATGTTAATGAAGAGATTAGATACCTCAATGAATGTTTAAATACATTAGATGAAAAAGAACAATTAATAAATGAATCAAGTGAAACTGAAGAAGTGTTTTCTGGAACTGATGGAAGTAACTCTGTGATGAGCAATTTGACAAATGGAATTGACAGTCAAAGTATTAGTCAATCATCATCATTTATTCTTAATTGAAAGTATATATTGTCATTTTTGTTTTTAAAATCATTTTTATATTCTTATGACAAAAATAAAAAGAGAAAAAGAAAAACAATAATTCTTTTTGTTTTTAAAATTCAATAACAATAAATTTATTAAGTTTTAATGAGAGGAAATTAAATTCACCATTTTAAAAGATTAATCAATTTTGTTTTTCTTTCTTATATTAAACCTTATTTTTAGTACACCTTTTCTTAGTCCATTCAATTATGTACACACTTCTGAGATTTTGAAAATGGACTAGATGTTCGTTCTTTCTTAGACTGTGTTAACATAACAATATCATATGGTTGAAGTGATTCAACTGGGAGTTCTTCTTTGTTAGTAGATTTAGTTTCAGGAGATAAACTGTTTCTAATACTCCATTCAGCTGAGTCAAAGTAATGACGTTGTCTATTAAGAGATTTTCTCATCATCCCATATTTATTAGTATTAGTAGGTTGTGTGGTTTGCATGAATACAATTCTTGTAATAAATGTGTATTTTTTTGATAAAGAAATAATAAATAGTTAATGTTAAGTATTGTATTTTTAGGAATTTGCTTTAAGTCTTTCAACCCCCTTGTAAATTTCATTTGACATGTTCTTTCAGTTTATTTCTCTATTTTTCTTTATCTTATTGAAAAATCACAGAAAATATTGTTGGTGTTGAGTCCACTCTTATTTATAACAAACTCTTTTTACTTGAACTTTCCTTTCTTTGTTTGAAATACTAAAATTAATTTATTCTTTGGGCTTAAATTGTTTGTGAAGAACTTTGGAAAACAAGTTCATAAATAAGTGATAGACATACAATGGGATTGAAGATGGTAACGAGTTATTGGTTGTATTAAGAAATTTGAATTGTTGTTTATTCCTTTGAAAATACGGATTGTAGTTATAATTGACTCATGGATGTTATTGGAATAAAAATTTACTTCATTCTGAATAACAAAAATAATTGATTTATAAATAACACTTTTGTTAAAAATAATGGTTTTATATTCTAATGTATTACTCAATACAATCTTGTTCGTTAACAATCAAATGATGAATTGAAAAAGATTCGTTTCTTATCGTTGGGAGTGCAGTATGTATTAGTAAATAAACCATCTGCCTGATAAAGGAATAAATCAGATAAAAAATACATAATTATAAAAAATAAGGAAATATTGTTAATACAAAAATCGTAAAACACAATTAAGAGAATTAAAAAAGATTATTCAATAATTATTTTTCTTATTCTTAAAGAAATAAAAGTTGAAAAGAGAAACTTACAATAGAAGAACGGAACTTAGTTTTAGAACTATTTGAAAAAATGAATGAACATTTGTATAGTCTTTTTATCTTTAACGGAAATGAAGAAGTGGGGAGAATGCAAATTACAAAAAAGCAATTTATTTATGGAAGAAATGAAGTTGAGTTTCTAAGAAAATATATTTGGATAAGTAGACAACACTTTCAAATAGAAATTAAAGGAGAAAATGAGAAAAAAGAATATGTATTAACAGTAAAAACAAATGTAATTACATTTCATAATAATAAACAAATAAAAAGAGATACAGAAATATTCATCAATTCATTAGATGTTATTTCCATTCCAATTCCAAAAGCATCAATGAGACAAAACATTATTTTTATTTCAAAAGAATTTGAAGAAAAAGAAATGGGTTGTTGTTTTTATACAAAATATCAAATTATAAAATTTATTGGAAGTGGTTCTTTTGGAAAAGTATTTCAAATCAAAAGAATGAATAATAATAAAATACTTGCAGTAAAAATAATTGATATAACTCAGAAAAAGAAATCTGAAACTGCACAGCGAGAGAGTGAAGTACTTGATAAAATTCATCACCAAAACATTATAGAAAAATATGAGACAATACAGTCACAAAGATTTATGTATATTGTTATGGAATATGTTGAAGGATTAACTCTAGCACAATACCTTCAATTAAAACAACAGACTTTTAATGAAAATGAAATTAAAATAATTACTAAACAATTATTTAATGCTGTTAATTATCTTCATTCCAATAAAATAATTCATAGAGACTTAAAACTTGAAAATGTAATGATTCGTGGTAAGACTAATGAAGAATTTAATAAACTTAATATTGTTGTAATGGATTTTGGATTAGGAAAAATACTAGAAACAAAAGATTATACTCTAACTAAGTGTGGAACAAGTAATTACACTTCTCCACAAATACTTCAAAGTGGACCTTACGATGGATTTAAAACAGATATTTGGTGTTGTGGAGTAATGTTATTTTATATGTCTACTGGGATGTTTCCTTTTAATCAAGAAGGAGTAAATTCATCATTAATGCTGAGGATTAATATTAGAAATGGAAAAATTTGTCATCAAAAAGAATTTAATATGATTTCTTTAGAATTACAGGACCTTATTAAGAATATGTTAATAGTAGATGAACAAAAAAGATTTACAATTCAACAGTGTTTAAATCATGAATTTATTTCTCTCAAACATCAAAAAATTTAATTTGAGATTAAACTTTATTGATTTAAATTCATTACATAAAAATGAATTATTTATTAATTGATTTTTGAAGAAAGCCAATCAAGACCTTCATAAAGACCATCCCCATTGATTGTGCATGACGTTTGACAATACCATTCTCTTCCTATAATTTGATTTAGTCTTAATTGTTTAGTAATCTCAGCCACAGTTTTGGATTGAAGTAAGTCAAATTTATTAGCATAAACTAACAATGGAAGTCCTGATAATTCTTTGATACTAAGTATTTGATTAAGAAGGTTTCTTGCTTGTATTAATTGATCTTCAGTATTAGTTGAATCAACAACAAATATAATTCCATCTGAATAGACATAGTAATTTTTCCATAAAGATTTAGTTCTGTCTTGGCCTTTAACTTCCCAAAAGTTAAAACGAATACTGTTATACTCAAATGCCTCAACTCCAAATCCAATAGTTGTGGGGATGTTCGTAGCAAACTCACCTAATATTAGTTTATAACGAATAGAAGTTTTACCTGCACCATTTAATCCAGTAATAATTATTCTTCTTTCTTTTATTGTTCCAAGAAGTTTTGACAACCAACTTACCATTCAGTATATGAGATTATTGATTACAGATGAATTTTTAAGCATAGTACATTACTACTCTTTCAGAATATAATTTCTGGAAAATTTATTTTCATTCAAAACATTCCTTCTGATATGACTTTCCACAAGTTTTTTCAAAAACAAAAAAAGAATTTAAGAAATAACAATTTGTTTTTCTATTTTATTTGGTAAATAACAATCTACAATACATATCAATTACAAATATAGATAATAGATTCAAGTAGATTTTAAAAAAATGGTCACTGTTTGAAGTAGTTTCATCATATATCTTAATATGGTTATTAGACTTTCTCTCTTACTGAAATTAGTTAAAAGAAACACAGAAACAAAATATTTTATTTTAGTCACATTAAAGAAGTCATAAATTCAAATGGAAGCTTTTTCTAATGGCTTTGACTTTTCCTTAAAGGTGTAACAAGGAAAATGACGTGGGGCTAGGAGAGAAGTCTTGAAAAAATGGAGATTGAATAACAGAAAGAAAAGGAAGGATGATTTCATCTTTTTTTCATTAATTTTTTTTAAGAAACATAACTTAAAAAATCGGGAAAAGGGTTTTTAGAGAAACTTAAAAAAAAAAAACGAAAAAAGAACTGAGAACTTAGTAAAAACCAAAAAACAGTATGGGAAGTTGGTTAAGTAAATTACTTGGAAAGAAAGAAATGAGAATTTTGATGGTAGGACTTGATGCTGCCGGTAAAACTTCAATTCTTTATAAATTGAAACTTGGAGAAATTGTCACTACTATTCCAACTATTGGATTTAATGTAGAAACTGTTGAATATAAGAATATTTCCTTTACTGTTTGGGATGTAGGAGGACAAGATAAAATTAGACCATTATGGAGACATTATTATCAAAATACTCAAGCAATTATTTTTGTAGTTGATTCTAATGATAGAGATCGTATTGGAGAAGCACGTGAAGAATTAATGAAAATGTTAAATGAAGATGAAATGAGAAATGCTATTTTGCTTGTTTTTGCTAACAAACATGATTTACCACAAGCTATGTCTATTTCTGAAGTTACAGAAAAACTTGGATTACAAACAATTAAGAATCGTAAATGGTATTGTCAAACATCATGTGCAACTAATGGAGATGGACTTTATGAAGGTCTTGATTGGCTTGCTGATAATCTCAAATAATTTTGATATTTCTCTTCTTTTCTTTGTATTTATTATTTTAATTATTTATTTATTATAATAGTAAAAAAGAAAGCTAAGATATAAGAGAATTTTATAAAGAAGAATAAACAAAACCAAAAGAAGACAAATAAAATAAATAATTATTTCTTTTTTAGCAAGACATTTTCAAAGTAAATTATTTACTGATAATACTTTAGTTTGTTAAGAGTTAAGTTCTTTCATAAAACAGTATATATGATTTGTCTGAAACAATATCTATTTTATTAAGAGGTTTTACTGTTTCATCATCAAAACGATACCATAAATCATTTATTTTACAATTAGCAGTAAAATGACCTTGATTAATTGAGCCTATATGATCAATAGTTGCATACAATTGATATTTTGCTATTCCAATAACAAAGTCATTTAAAGGGAAAAAAACAGTAGTTTGATCTTTTTGAGTATTATTTGATTGTTGTTCAAATCGAAGAATTTGAATAATAAGAATAGGAGGTGTTACAACGAAATTTCTATTAGGAATTTGTGTATGATTACATTTAACACAAGTTTGAAAAGAATATAAATAACCAATTAAACAGTCATAAATTGTTATATATTTTAATTCTTTTAATTCAAAATAATTTTCTAAATTAACTTTTTTTAAAAATGAAAGATTTTTCATAATTGGCAATTGTAATAATGAAAATGGTTCAGAATGAATTGAAGATGTTCCACAAATTTCACAACAAAATTTACTTACAACCATCCCAGTTGTCATTTGAGTAATAATTGATTTATTATTTCTAATATATTCAATATAATCTTTATAATACAATTCATTATGTATTATAGCTGGTGGTTGAGTTATACTTGTACCTCGAAGATCATTATCCATAACATCAAGTAATAATAACAAAAATTCTGCAGCATCTTTTTGTTTTTTATCAGCAAATTGTTGGTTGAGAATACCAAAAGTAGTAAAAAAATATTGAGGGTAAATTGATTCTTTATGAGTATATAATGCTTGGATTGTTTTTATTAAAGACTCGGTAACATTTTCTATTAATGAACTTTTTGTATTATTTTCATTCGTATAAACTTTTAACTGATATTCTAATGCATATTCTAAAAATTGTTGGGTATGTGCAATGCACTGTATTACAGCATTCATATAACATGTATTACCTAAATTATGAATCCCATTTGTTCCTTTAATTTTTGGTGAGTTAAAGAAGTTTAGAAATGACATTTATTTTTTAACTAAAAATTTGTTTTAAGTTCTTTTTTTTTCTTTTTTATAAATTGTGTTATTTAGTTTATTAGCATTTTCATATTCTGTTTGCTAAATAATTTATAGAATTATAAGTTCCAGTTCTTAGTAAAAAAGTTTTTTAATGAAGCGAGCTCCAAAACAAATACTCACCACCATAAAACTTAAAAAAATTCTTCGTTGTAGAAAAGCTGAACTAAAAACTGAAATATTTACACACTATGCAAACTGAAGTAGAGAAAATGACTCAAAATTGGTACTTTATTGAAAAAGAAGAAGAGTACGCATTCTGGATAAATGTCTTTGCTACTCATTTAGCAAGAACTAAACATAATTTATGTGATAACTATGTTGCTAAAAAACGTGAAAAGTGTTTTGCTGTATTAATTAAAATTCTTAAATCTCATCTTAAAGAAAATCAAAAATGTTTTATAGTGAAAAAAGAAGGGTGTTTTTTCTGTCCATATGATGTTGTTTCCTATTGTTAATTGATTTCATTCATTTTCACTTTTATTTATGTGTCTTTTCATTACGGTGATTTTTTTGCTTTCATTTTAAGTATTGGATATTGAATATTATGTAAAATTGAAGCAATTTTTGAGGTTTCTATTCTAGTTTTTTTTAATTTTAGAATCTCTGCTTATTAAAAATTTCATTATTCAATATTTAGAAGTAAGATAAAAGTATATTTTCATCTTGATAGTTTATTTTTAGTGTTTGATTTTAGAAATGAACATTCAAAAAGTTAAAAATCATAAGAAAAATCAATCATCAAACCATTCCAAACCATAGATGCTGTCCAAAAAAAATTCATTGTTACTATTTAGTGGAGTAAAAATATTACTAAAACTTTGGTTATCACAAAAAGGTGGTAATGAATATAAAGCACAAAAGTCATCAACTTCAATCCAACACTTTTGTTTAGTTATCCAAAGGAAATCTGGAATAGAAAGAATCTCATCTTTTCGTTTTAACAATGGTAAGGTAATCATATTATCACTTGAATTAAATGAAATTAATGGTTCTAAATGAAGAGGATTTAATAACGTAAATACAAACCCATCAGTATCATGAGACCCATATGAGTGTTTTGGTGATTGAAAAGATGATGAAAATACACCAAATACGAATCCATCTGTTGATGTTATCATAAACATTGCATTTTTTACATTTCTTAAACTTGAATTAATTTTAGCACTATATAATCCATCTAATGATGAATTATAAAAACAACGATAATGTTTATATTTCATTTTTTCTTTTAATATATCAAAGTTTCTATCTAATTCAGGTGATTTGTCAAATTCTATAACTTGAGTTGTAAATTCTTTTTGTCCTTTTTCAACTTTACCAAAGTGAATTGAGATATGTGGACTTGGTGGAATATATCCATTTATTGGTTTAATAACTAATTCACTTGATTCAGATTGTTCACTTTCAGAGGGTGTGCTTGTTCTAATAATTGGTTGAGTAATAATAAATGGTTTTTGAATATGTTGAATTGAATCAAATAATGTTTGATAATTATTTTTAATGTCATTTGGAAGTATTAATCGTTGAAAAGATAATTGGTTTAATTTTTTTTCTATTTCTTGTATTTTGTCTAAGCTAGTTTTTAACTTTTTATCTTCATTGAGTATTGTCTCATAGGTAATTGATTCATTAATAAATTTAAGGTTTTGGAGTTCTTTCTCAAGCCAAACCCTTTCTTTTTTCTTTTCGTTTAGGAGTAGGTTGAGTTTATCAAATGATGTATCTCCCATCACTGAATGCTTTGTCCTTTTACTCTTCTTTTCAAGATTTCATTCTTCTTTTTCTTTCTAATAAAATAATTTATATTTATAATAATATTTACTATTCATTTCTAGTAAATCCTACTGAAACTCCAAAAGTCAGAATGACAACAACATCCCGAGAGCAAATACTCAAATATATTACTGATTACAACGAGTTTGACGTTTGGGAATGTATTGGAAAATGTGAAAGTGATGGTGATTTAGATGGTATTGCCAATGAATTACAAGAATATAAAAACAAAAACTCTAATGCATTAATTGAGCTTATTAATACAAGATTTGAAGACCTTGTATTTCTCTCAAAAACATTATCTGAAATTAAAGAAGTTACAAATGAAATCAAATATCCAATGAAAGTACTTGAAAAACAAACATCAGATAAAATTAAACTAATTAAATCAGAGATTGAAGAAATAGTTAGTGAATTAACACAAAAACAAATTCATGAAGAACAAATGGAAAAACAAAAAATCGAAACACAAATAATGAATTGTTATAAAAGACTTAAAAATAATCTTATTCAACCTAAAAGTGTAGAGCAAGTAGAAACTGCATGTTATCAATTAGAGATGTTAAAGTATCTTATTCATTGTCATAATGAAGCAGAATGTGCAGAAAAAGTATCACGTTTGTTTTTTTATTAATAAAGAATTATTATAAATTTATTTAATCTTTTAGGAAGTTTTACTGATATTGAAAATACTATTCATACATTATTAGAAAATTTTTTATTGGAATATGCTACTTCAAATGATCAAGAAAAAATAGAGGTATGTTCTAATTGTTATCATCTACTTGGAGAAATGGATTTAGCTCAAAACATTCAAACAAAATAAATTTATGATTCATTTTTTTACTATACTTTATAATATTTTTATAATTTAATAAACTATAAAGAATGAGGATTCAAAAAAATAGTTGAATGAACAATCTTAAAAAATTATTAAATATCAATGCAAACACTTGAAAATCCTGAACTAGTTGAATTAAACAACGAATTAGAACAACTCAAAGTTCAAAAAGATGAATTGCTCAAGAAAAAAAAAGATATCGAACGACAAAAATCATCTAATCACTTAAAAAGTTTATTACAACGACAAAATGAACAAATTAATCAAAGTTGTTCTGAACTTATTTCACAACTTATGTCTAATGAAATTACGTTTGATGAGTTCTCAACACAGTACATTGAATTACGAACAAACTCTCATCTCAATACAATGTTAATGGGAAAATAATTGAAATGTTTCTTATTTTGTTATATATTACAAAAATAAATGAGGTTATTTTTTGAAAAGATAAAAACAAAAAAATTAAAAAAAAGAGAGAACTTAAAAATAAAAAGAAACTTAAAAAAGAGCAAAAGAAAGAATGGCAACAGTTAAAAAGATAGATCAACATCTCAAAACTATTCCAGAAGAGTTATGTAAAACACAAAGTATTTATATAAACGTAGGAGAATTAAATTTTGGGAGTAATGAATTTGAAGAAATACCGGAAACAATCCAGTTATTTAGTTCATTAAAGAAAATATCATTTGCAAGCAATAAATTAAGAGAAGTAAATGATTATTTATTTTCGTTAACAGGATTAGAATATATTTGTTTAAACCAAAATAAAATAGAAGAAATTAATAATAAAATTACTGAACTAACTCAATTAACATCATTTGAAGCATGTGCAAATAAATTACATGAATTTAATTTTAATCTTAATGTTCAAAGATTAGATCTTTCAGCTAATTTCTTTACAACATTAAACTTTAGTTCAACAAGACTAACATTTTTAGATATTTCACAAAATGATTTAAATTCATTTCCAATTTTAAATTGTCCTAATTTAGAAAGAATTAATGCTTCATTTAATAATATTGAATTATTACCAGATGATATTACAATTTTAAGTTCACTTAAAAACTGCGACCTTAGAAATAATAAAATAAAATCATTACCAAAAAATTTTTCAATTCTTACAGCATTAACGTATTTACAATTAGCTAATAATCCAATTAACACTGTTCCACCAAATTTTGAAGTAATGAGAATTAGAAAATTAAATGTAAATGGAACACAAAATTTATTATTTAATCCAATAACAACATTGAAAGAATTAAATTATTCAAAAGTAGGAGTGGATGTATTATTTGATAATTATTCAGCATTAAAAAATTTAGAAACACTTGATGTATCAAATAATTTATTTAAGACATTAACATTGACATCAGAAAAAATGATTAGTTGTAATTGTTCAAATAATAAATTAACGACACTAACAATTGAAAAAGGTTGTTCTATTCAAAAATTATTAGCTAGAAATAATGAAATTAGTTTTATAGATTCTTCAATTTATTTAAATTCTAAATTATGTGTTTTAGACTTAAGCAATAATAAAATTACTTCATTACCAAATAAACCAGATATGTCTAGAGTAAATTATTTAAGTATTGGATTTAATAAATTATCTTCTTTTGATATGGATTTGAATAAATTTTCTTCATTAACATTTTTAGATATTTCTTTTAATAAATTAAATTTAATTCCTTCTCAAATTGGTGTGTTGACTCAATTAAAAACTTTATATATTACTGGTAATAATATTTCAATATTACCAAATGAATTTTCAAATTTAATTTCATTAACTAATTTGCATTGCTCTGAAAATAAATTCACGTCATTTCCTAATATTCTTTTAAATTTATCTAATTTATCTAAATTATATATTTCCTCTAATTATTTTGAATCTATTCCTTTATTATCTTCTCTTATTAATCTTCAAACTTTGGACATTTCTAATTGTTTCTTAACTTCTTGTACTTCTATTATTAATTTATCTCATTTAGAACAATTAAATTTAAGTAATAATTATATATCAATTCCTCATAATTTTAATGGTTGTTCTTCATTAATTTATCTTGATTTATCATATAATTCTCTTCAGTCATTTGTTGATGTTAATAACTTTAAAAATCTTGCTTTATTGGATTTATCTTTTAATGACTTAACTAAATCACCAAATCATTCCCCTTCTACAATTGTTCGTATTGATGGTTGTATTCGTCTTCAAAAATTCCCATTTTTATCTCGTTTTCATCATGACCTTAAATTTAGATCAGTCCCTACTACTTATGCAGCTGCACAAATGTGTGCTGATAGAGATGAAATGCAAGATTCTTTTATTTGTATTCCTCATTTTGCAGCTCCAGAACATTATTTATTTGCTGGAATTGATGGACATTCTGGAAAATATGTTTCTTATATGTTTTCTATTAGATTTCCAGAGATATTTTATGAAATGTTATCAAGAGATTCTGGAACACTAAGTATTATAGACGCTTTATATCAATCATTTGATAGTATTCAAAATGAATTTGCAAATGATCCTAATGTTACTGATGGTGCTGTCGCAACAGTAATATTCATGACTCCTACTAAAATTTATACTGCCCAATGTGGAGATTGTCGTGCTGTTTATATTACTTCGTCTGGTGTTGTTCAACTAGCTCCAGAACATAAAACAAGTGATAGAATAGAACAAATGAGAATTCGTTCACAAGGAGGTTTTGTAGCTGAAAACCTTAGAGTTTGTGGATTACTTGTTGCTCGTTCTGTTGGTGATGTAAAAAATAAACCCATTATTACACACGTCCCTGACATTACTTGTTTTGACAGAAGAGATGATGAAGAGTATTTAGTTGTTGCAACTGATGGAATTTGGGATGAAATTTCTAATTTAAAAATTCATGACATACTACATTCACATAGAAGAGTTTATAGAACAAGTGAGTTGGCTAGTTTAGTTAAAGATACTGCTTATGTCAGTTGTATATCTGGACAACACCCTGATAATATTGGAATTGTTCTTTGTCGTTTCTAATTTACTTCTTTTGAGTCTTTTTAAAACAATTCTTTTATATAAGTATTGTATTATTCTTTTATTTTATCTCTTACTATTTTATTATAGTATATTATAATAAAATTATAATTCTTATTAAAAGTTTTTTTCTTTTTTTTTTTAACTCCCAAAACTTTTCTAAAAATAATATCTTAAACTAAAAAAGAAAGGAAAAAAGAAAAAATTTTAATTTGTAAACTCTAACTAAAATGAACCCACCTTTTCCTTTTGAACAACTTATAACAGAAATTAATAATGACCCTACTAACGAATTACTTCATCAAGATGTTGTTTATTATGTTGAAGAAATGAAAGTTGATGATAATAAAAAACGAATATTAATGGAATTGTTATGGCCAATTATTAAATACAGATCATCTAATGAGTTGATAGAAGCAGTTACATCTGTACTATGTGA